AAAAAAAAAAGACAAGTAAAAGTGCAATTTTTTGAAGTGATAACCTACTTTTGGATTATTGTAGACAACAAATATACCAACTGCGACTCTAATTGTGTTGCAATTACAATAGAAACACAAATTGTCTCTTGAACCAATTTTGGATCCTTAAATTTTAAGGTCTTCCCAACTTTAAACAGGAACTGCTGGCTTGACTGAGATTAGAGCTTTCTTTATTCTATCTACTGCTTCCATCAGAGTGGAAAGGGAAGCTGCATACGATATGCGGATGCAGCTGTCTTCGCCAAAAGCATCCCCTGGGACAAGAGCAACCTGCAAATAAAGTATATTTAGTATAACAATTGATATTGATGAATTTTTTCAATGCCATGAAAATCAGAATCATTATTTTTGGATATAGTATTCTAAACCTATATGCAATCGAATATTGTTTAAGGGGATTTCTTGCTAACTTTTTCTCATAATGATCTCAAACCCTTTAAAAATCGTGACGAAAGAAGCAATGTATAAGTTACCTGGTTTTCTAGCTTGCTTTGAGTTGTGATTCTATGGGCCCATTTGGTAGGGTTAAAAGCTGCTTTTGAGACTAAGAAATTATTTTTGAGCTGTTTGGATACTTTTCTACTGGAAATGCTTTGTCTGGGAAAAGCTTTTAAAAGAAACTGATCCAAATGAAACTTCCACATGAAGCTCAACAAACAATTCGAAAGACCTCGAATTTTTTAGAATAGGTCCAAGTCAAATAGCAACGATTCACAGCACTTCTTTTCCACTATTTCGGAAACCCAAGGACTCGATCGTATGGAGTTAAAGCAAAAGCTATTCCAAACAGTCCCTAAAACATGTAACTATATGGAGACTTCAAACTGCTCAGCCTCATGCACATCACATAAGTTTTAGATTAAAGTGTTTGAATTTCATTTTTCAACTGGGAAGGGTCGAAGATCTTACTTTAGCCTTGTCAAGCAAATATCGGCACAGGGACTCTGAACCATTAATGGCACCAAAACCGTCGATCTCAGCTCCAAAGTAAGAGCTGAAGTCAAGGAAGAGGTAAAAAGCTCCCTGCAAGGGTTCAACAAAAGTTTAATAAGGCAAAGATAGAAAATAAATACATTCCACGACCAAAATCAGATGTCTTTTATCCATTATCCATTAGGTCCTAGCAAGAATAGTAGGCAAAACAGAATTGAACTGTTACCTGAGGCTCTGAGATTTTAACTCCCTCCATTTCTCCAAAGCTTTTAACCAGAAAATCTCTCCGCTCACAGAATGCCTTGACCATAACTGACACTGTCTCTCCACCAGCATATCCCATTCCTAAAGCTGCAACTGCTGCTTTTTGAGATACACTGCTGGCACCTGAAGTGAACTGAGAAAAACCAAGCACCCGAACCTTATTAAATTTGTGGGTATCCCCAC